TGTGGTTCGCCAGGTTCCGGCAAAACAATGACTCTCCTCTCGGCTCTTCGTTCTTTACAAGTACTTTTCAAAAAAAAAGTTGTGTGTAACTCAGAGGAGGGCAAAAATACATATTGCAATGATCCTATGTGTGTGTGTGTGTGTGTGTATGTTCGATTCGCCAGCCACGCAAGCATTGAAGCTGAAATTTTACCAGTGCGTTCCTTAGCCAAATGCGACCCCAGGAACATGGTGTCAACCGCCACGCACGTTTACGTCAAAACACTTGAGAGTTTTAGCGGGAAGATTGCTAATCTGAGAACTAGAAAAGCTGGAAAGCTGAAACTTTGGGGGAATGTTCCTTAGCCATGTGTGATTAAAAGATTTCAAATTCAGCTCCTTAGAACTGCCCACGACTCAGGTACGGACGTATGAGATTTTTAGGGGAAAAATTGTTGAGCCGGGAACGAGAAAAGCTAGAAGGCTGGAATTTTAAGGGAATATTCTCTGCTCAGCGCGACTAAAAGATTTCTTTTTCAGCTCTTCTAGTGAGGTCTTTTTCGCGCACCAGCAGTTTTCCATTTGTCAGGTCACTGAAGCTGGCATCTACAATTGACATTTCGCATAGCTGCACAATTAATTTTTTGGGCTTCCAGGACCACTATGGCACAATTTCTAGCTACTGTGATTGCTTGCGATATTGCTACAACACGAAATAGTGCAAAAACAAAAACGCATGGTCGCACTGGCCTGCCTGGTGCGTTCCAGCCTGAATTTTAAAAGCAGTTTTTCTATGCCGTTTGTAGCGTCCAGGTTGATCTAGGGTGCCAAAGTAAGGTTGGTGTGTAAAAAAAAGAAAAAAGAAAATGGTAGGAAAAACGACTGAGTTAAGACGTTTCGGTCCATAAAGTCATATTCGTCTTAGCTCAACACCCCGACTGAACCTTGTCAGTATGACGGTCGTGGTGTTCAGAGAATAGAAGAAAAAAGAATGGAATGTAAGAGAGGAGAAGGAAAAAAGGAAAAAAGAAGAGGAAGAGAGGGAATCGAATTTATTAATTATAAGTTTAGAGTGGTTGTGAGAGATGAAAAAAGTTTGTAATATAAAGTAAAACCTCGATAGACGCTCTGTGGCCCGTGTGGTTGTTTGGCGCAACATTATCGCCATTGGCCCTGGTACGCTTCGAATTCGACATAGTTGGAATTATTATTATCGTGACGAGGGGAGATAGTGGCGATATGAAAGGAATGTCGGTAACATGACGTATACGTATATTTTGGTGTAGTATAATTATTTGCGGAACGGCGTGTACCAAATCCCGACAGAGGGCCGCAGTAGGAGGGAAATAATCTATATTTCTCATTTATTTGCTCGGGCATGTTGTCATTTAATTCTTACGCCAACTTGTCGAATGGTAAGAGCTAATAAATTTTTATTTACGTTTTTTTGAACAAAATTTTTCGAATAAAAAAAATTTTTCGAATTATTTGCGTTTTTTTTTTTTTTTTTTTCAGAATGGCTTTTACCGTACGTCAGATCAGACTTGGGTTTCGCTTGAACGAATCCAGTTTGTTGGGGCTTGTAATCCGCCAATCGATCCTGGTCGACATCCGCTTTCGTTGCGTTTCTTGCGCTATGTCCCTGCGGTATATGTAGAATATCCGGAACAAACATCACTGGTGTAAATTTATGGAGCTTTCAATCGAGCTATGTTACGTGTCTCATCCAACTTGCGTTCATTTGCTGAGCCCTTAACAAATGCTCTGGTCGATTTCTATCTACAGTCACAGGTAAGGCTTATAATACTTGTTAATAACATTTCATGAATAGCAAACATGAATAGCATTTCATGAATAGCGTGCAAGAGCGTATGGGAAGTAAG